GGACCATCAAAGAGCTAGCAAGAAATTAATTTCATATTTCCTTCTAGCAAAGAAAGATGTGTTGGAAAAGCAACATAATCCTAAGGAGGAACACCATCAAAACATTTAAAATAACTTGAGATAAATGACATGGGGTGGTTTCTATTGGCTACAAAACAAACTAGACATTCTTGGACTACACATTTTAAAATTTTTTCTACTACTAATTTTTGGGTGAACTTGGGAATTTCATTTTACCCTGGTTTCTTTAATTATAAAAGTGATTAAATGAGCATGAGTCAGTCTAGCTGACGTATTGACAAGAATTAATCTATCAAAACCCAAAATGTGTGGTTTTGGCTAAGAAAGACATATTGAAAATAACCTATCACAGTTACATATCCTAAATGAAATCAACAAAGGTGATACACTAGCACCCAATTCTTTCCTTTATCCATATATATTTGGTCAAAACCATGACTTTATTATTCCTGTTTTTCCTAGTATTACAGAAGAAATCTGATTTTTTATGTTGGAGAATCTTCTAGACATCTTTACTTCTATGCAAATTTCCTATGACTAAACCTACACACATCTCATTCATTATAAATATTCACTCTCCAAATTTAATACAAAAAAATCAACTGACTTGTAAATCATAACTCTGGATTATAACCTTACTAAGACTTGATCTATTATTAATTAAAGATTATATATAAATTTAAGTATGTTAAAAATACATAAGAATATCTGATAATGTAGGATGGTACTGATGCTTCTTATTGTAGAAATATAATTTCAAATAAATTTCATTCACTGCCAAAAACATATTTTGGAAGTAACTGAAATGGCTCTAGTTTTTGAAAAATAAAGAAAGGCTTCATAAGTGAGTTCACAGCCAGGTGGAAACTAATATCTATTTTTCTCAAATGTGTGAGATGAGGCCACCAGAAACTATGTTAGGGGCTAAAATTAGCCATTGTAATAAAGCATAAGGAAATATTGTTATACGTTGTCACTGTGTTCCAATATATAATATGTTTGGATGGAATTCAGGAGTTTTTATAAGTTGGAGTCATTCAAATAACTCTCTTTTTGTCTACATATGTGATGCTAAACAACCAATTTTATGGACTTAGACATTTTTAATTGAATGCTTGGTATAATAGGCATAAGTCATATGTAAATATTATCAACACTCAAAGATGAGGTATAAAATATGTATGTTTAGTATACTCAATATGCTATTTGCTTCTCAAATGGATTTAACTCAGTTTTACATATGAGTTAATGAACATCTCTTTAACATAAAATAGCTTAAGGAATGATCAATTAGTCAAAACAATTATACCAACTCGGAAAACTTCAAATAAAAGTGGCAAACTTTATTTATTGCACAAAAGAGAAAAAGAAGAGTGTACAATAAGGAATAATTCTAAAATCCCAAATTAAAGTAACTGAAATTAAGATCACCATTTAAGTGGCTATGGGATAAAATACCACCATTAATCTTATCTCTGGGGAGTTTTTAAAACTACAAATATATTCATTTGTTAATTTAACAATGGTCTTATCTGGAAACTAAACAGTCTTAAACTTCATGCTTCTAATCCTCTGCTTGTTAAAATGACAATACTATTGCATTAGTGATGGACACTATCAGTACCCATCTCATCCACAAAATCCTGATGTACCATAAAGTTATTGCAAGAGGTTTATGAGTTCCTGTGTATAAGTTTTGTAGACTACACATATATTTATTGCTCCCACACATATATTTATTGCTATTTTTCAAATATATCAAGTCACTATTGTGCTTAATAAAATACAAGTTCATTAAAAATGACTCCCAGAGTCAATGGCCCTCAAATTACATGTGCTCTCCTACATTTTCCAGCCTCCACTGCATATGAGTTAGTGTCATGTGACTAGGCCTAGCTAATTAACCATAAGAGGAAATAACCAAGGCAGTTAGCCTTGATAACTCCTCCACTCTTTATTTCCCCTCCTGCAGTGACCTTCGGGTCCATGCCTTCTAAAAGAAATAACCATACATGTTGGAGGATCACCTGATCCATGCTGGTCTCTACATGAATAAGAATGTAACTGTCTTGCTTCAAGCAGCAAAGGTTTGAGGTATGACTGCTGCAGCCACTAGTGTTAATTACACTGACCAACAAAACAAGTAACTGAAGTCATAGTAATATTTTGTCATAGTATATATTTTCTCAATCAACAGAGAGTAAAAGTACTATCATACAGAGGTTAGTGGGATTTCTTTTTTAATTTTAAAAAGAGGCCTCTGTATTTTAAAAGATCAAAAAGCATTAAACTCTTTTGCATTAAAAACAAAACACAAGTGGACATATAGGAGTAACATTTATCAGATGTCGGGAGGGTGGGAGGGGGGAGCAGGGGATGGGTATATACAACCACAACAAGTAAGATGTGCAACGTTTGGGGGATGGACACGCTTGAAGCTCCTACTCAAGGGGGAAGGGGGCATGGGCAATATATGTAACCTTAACACTTGTACCCCCATAATACGCTGAAATAAAATAAAAATTAAAAAACCACATTTACCAAATTTTATTGGTTATGCCATAATTTTATCGATTCAATTGTATATAAAAGTCCACAGCACATTCCACTGAATATCATCAGTACATAATATATAAAAATAAGTGCCACTTGGTGCCAAGTTGAAGAATAAGGTGGGGAATCTAATCAAAATTAAGGTGTTAGCCAACAAGCACATGTAAATATACTCAACATCATTAATTATAAGGGAAATCCAAACCAAACCCACAGTGAAATACTACCCCACATAGGATAACTACTATTAAACAACAACAAAAACCAAGAAAGTAACAATATTGGTGAGGATGTGGAGAAATTGGAACTCTTATGTACTGTTGGTGGGATTATAAAATGGTACAGCCACTATAGAAAATAGTATAGTGGCTTCTCAAAAAATTAAAAATAGAACTATCATATGATCTAGTAAATTCACTAATGGGTATATGCTCAAAAGAATTGAAAGAAAGGTCTCAAAAAGATACTTGTGAACTCACGTTCCTAGCAGCATTATTTATTTACAATAGCAAAAAGGTAGAAGCAATGCAAGTTTCTAGCCACAGATGAATAGATAAGCAAAATGTGGTATATATTATACATACAATGGAATCCTATTTCTTCTTAAAAAGAAAAGAAATTCTAACACATGCTACAGCAGAATAAACCTTAAGGATATTATTCTAAGGGAAATAAGCCAACCACAAAGTCAAATCTACTTGTATGAGATACTTAGAGTAACCAAAGTTACAGGGGCAGAAAGTAGAATGGTGATTGCTAGGGGCTGGTGATAGGAAAGAATGGGGAGTTGTTCATGGTTATAGAGTCTCATTTTTGCAAGATAAAAATAGTTGTGTATATTGGTTGCACAACATGAATGAACTTATTATTACTGAACTGTATTTAGAACAGTTGATATGGTAAGTTTGTTATGTATATTTACTATAATTAAAAAGAAAAAGAAAAAAGAAAAATTTTAAGATGTCAGGATGAAATTCAATCAGTTTTTGGTTAAGAAAAAAAAAAGAAAGAAAACTTACTAAGACTAAGGCTCTGTTGTGCAAAATGGCAAGGTGTTTTCCTCAAGAGTCCTCCAAAGGAGTTCTGTTCTGTGTCCATGTAATTGGAATCAGAATAGAACAGTTTTACCCAAAATGATTGTCAAGGCCCGTGAGATATCTAAAGACAAAAAGGGACTCCTGGCCAAATATCCCATTCTTGGAAATCACAATATCCTTTAGTGAGTTAAAATTCAGAGAAATCAATCAAGAAAAACATAACCTTTTAATTTGTGCAAGATAGACTTTCTGAAACATTTAGTTTTTTAATATTTTTGCATAATACCTATTAATATCTATATACCTATATTTCTCCACAGCACCTTTTCAAAATTCTGAAGTAACATCTCCAAAATGACATTTTAAACTATTATGTTCATTTTCAAAGTGTCTCATTGTTTTACATATATTTATAATTTTGCCTTGAAGAGCAAACTCTTATTCTTCATGATTGGGTCTCATCCAGGATCATGGGAGTAAAGCTAAAAGTTGCTCCTGGCAGATAAACATATGTCTTTAAACACACACATAAGCACATACATAAACACACAAACATTACAGTCAGCATTTAATTGAGTACTTACTAGGAGTCTGACACTATGCTAATGTATTACATATACCTTACATCATTTAATCATCACAACAAAGCTATGACAAAGTATTATTATAAATATTTTGAGGATGAGGAACCTGAGGCTTTACGAGTTTAAGGAACTTGCCCAAGATCACATGATTTGCAAATTCATTTATTTAAATTCATATAAGATGAATTTAAACCAGAACTATGAGACTCCAGGACCAAGTCTAGGACCACTCTTATATTAGAGTGCTTTTCTAAAAGTATAGATCTGAGTCTTATACAAGTGCTTCATTCTGTAGGAACAAGTTTATCATTGTGATGGAAAACAGAGACAAATAACAAAAACAAATGTGGCAACACCAGAAGAAATTTGTGAACTTTTATATCTCCTAAAACTAAAATTTCTCTTTGAAACATTTCAAAGTTAGCCTGTGTAAACCAAAAAGTTGATGAGAAATGGTAGAGTTTTTTTTTTTAAGTCTTGTTTATAATTTATGGCATGAAATGGCAGAATTAGGTTTAAAACTGAGCTAAGAATTAAGAGACTTAGGTTCTAGTCCCAGCTTTGCCACTAACTAGACCTTACTTTGCAAACATCCATCAACCTTTTCATGCCTAAGTTTCCTCACTGGAGAATTGGAGAGGGCAAACTAGCTGAATCTCTAAGATCTTTTCCACCCAAACTTCCTGTACTTTTTAGTGGAAGAAGAACATGGGCAGGGGAGTCTATACAACATGATAGAAAAGATATTCGCTTTAAATTTGATACACATCAACTTTCTAAATTGAAGGAAAGACTACCTCCTTGCTGAATTTGTATATAAGTCATTTATTTCATTTTAATAAATGTTCATATATGTAGATGAAGGCAGGGGACGGACCAGCTCTTTAAGGAGAAGGCAGCATAGTTCAGAGGAAGTCCATTCACCTTGTGTCTCTTTGCTGACATTGTGCTATCAGTGCCTGGGATTCAGCTTGGAAAGGAGTTCTCTCTCCATTCAGACTCTTGTCTCTTCTCTGGCTGTCATCTAGGATGTTGAGCAATATGCCCATTCTTGAAGATAGAAGAAAAGAAAGAGAATAACTTGGCAAAAGGAGATTGGATATAGAAGCCACAATATAGGACTCAGAAAAAAAAAAAACAAACTGCCAAGTATCGTCCTTTTGTTTCTGAGTTTCATACAGAATTATTATGAATAAAATAATAAAAGCAATAGAAAAGCTGTGTATGTTACCCTGTCACCATTACATTTGTCCTGCTGATGTTAAAAAGAATAAGAGCAAAAAAATATGTTTATAAAAACAAGAATGAGTTTTGCTTCTTTCAACCTAAAGGAGGCTTATAGCTTGTAAATTACAGCACTAATCCTCTTAGACCAAGTTTTCTCTTGCTTGTCCCTGTGGCCCTGTGGAGCCAGAAACTGCAATTGGATAAGAGGGTAAGCAGCCAGTGTAAGCTTCTGGCCTCAGGTTAGCTTTGTATATTAAGGGGGGGGAAAGTACCAATCTAAGTAGCATTTGGATGGAAAAAAATATCACTGCATATAAGCACCTGTCATAGGATAGATGAATATTCCTGTAGTCTCCTTTATTCTCAAAATGTCACTGAGAGTATTAGTCTTATGTATTATGAAGTTTTATCCCCCTTCTGATCCACCTCTTCCCATAGTACTGCATTTAAAATTCAACTGGTAACTAATTCTCTTCCAAGTTTTACTTGCTGATATTTGGCTGCCTGTATGCCCCTAAGTGGAAATACAACCTTAACACTGTCACTAGTCCCCATATTATTGTCTCTCTCTCTCTGTCTTCCCTCATCCCTGTTCTCTCTGTCTCTTTCTCTCTCTGTTGGACAGGGCAAACTAGCTGATCTCTAAGATCTGTTTCTCCACTTAACATGAATTTTTCCAAGTCCTAGCCTTCTTACTAAGATTTTGTCACTACCTCACAACGTATAGCCAAGCCTTCATAGTCTCATAATTATAAATCCACCACATCAGATAATCTTTGTTCTCCTACATTGCTCACCCACTGCTTTCTCTTTGTCTAAATGAAGTTATGTTTGCTTAGTATTCAACTCTCTGAAGCTCATGTCATCACAACTTTAGTCAGTTGGAGGGTTGCCATTACAAGAAGCCAATAGGATCAGCTAAAACTTTTTTTTTCTTTTTTCTTTTCCCCTCCATTTCCACCACATTAAATATGGGAGTTTACACTTGAAATAGAAGCTTTGCAAACAGGTAGTGAGCATTCCTAATGAGTAGATCCATGTCATTCTTGTCAGTTTTATAGTGTGTTCTCTCCTTTTCTCCTTTCACCTGACATGGTCTTTAAATAATTCCACACTGTTGCTTTTCTCATACACCAGACATAGAAAACAGTCCCAGGGCTTAAGGTAATCTCTCACATAGCAGATGATTTATATTTTCTGGCTTAAAGAAAGTTCCAGGACCCCAATAGACTCCAATAAGTCATTTCTAAAATATAAGCATTTATGCATAAGACATGTGGGCTTTATTCTTCAAACCAACCCCATTACTTTCAGGAGGCTGTTCTCAAGAACTAGCGGTTCAGGTCTTCAACAAGAACATTTAGAGAGTAAAATATCAACCTCTCCAATAATAAAGGAGCCTGGAGACACTACTATCTTTCTTTGTAGAACAAGTCAGGAAGATTTTTGGGCCAGGCTGAACCCACAGGGACAATTACTTTTCTCTCTTGGACATTATGACCAAGAGTCAGTTTGTGAACAGTCTAGCCTCTCTGGCTTCATCTGCTTTATGAAGTGTGTAGTTTACTGAAATATTATATCCTAGGAAGAGTTTACAATCCCAGTGAAAGAAATAGGAGCATCACCAACTTTTTAGAGGGCATATTATATCAAGTTTTTTCAAAGTATAATGATGTTTCAATGTATCTTGTAGTCTGTAGAGTTACTATAATTAAAATTGAACTATACATCTTTATAGGTCAATTGAAGCATAGGCATTCACAAAAGAAAATAAAATTCCTTGCCCATATGCCAACAACACCATTCTTTGGTGGAACAGTGAAGGACACTGAGTAAGAAAGATCAAAAGTGGAAATGAGACCCATCCATTTAATACTGCTTTGTGTAGACACATACAACCTCTCCTAGATAATTATATTGCAAAGAAACACTGTGAAATAAGTTGACCAAATAAAATAATGAAATTAAGAAAAAAAGTGGAAGAAATGGTAAAAGGGAGAATAGAAGATCAAGAGATTATAGAAAATAGAGAAAAAAGGTACACAAAAAATAGCAGGAAAAAAGGGAGGAAGGAAAGGAGAAATGTGAGAGAAAAAGAGGAAGAAGAAAAAGGCTCTCTGGAGGTTGTTCCATATACCACATGCTAAATAATAATTTTATGAATTGAAAATATGACATCATGCTTTATTAAAGCAAACATGTATAAAAACAAGACTCAATTTTGTTTCTTTGAACCTAAATGAATCTTATTTATACCTTGGAAATGATAGCACAAATCCTCTTAGAAAAAGTTTTCTCTTGCTTGTCCCTTTGGCCCTGTAGAGTTGGAAACTGCAATCCCTTAAAAAAGTTATTGAAACAGAAGCTATCATGCTAGGCCTTATTCAGAATGTTTTAGATTTCTTTGGAGGGTTCTAATTTCTCTGCAGTCACACTCGGTATACACAAACTATTTGTAAAATTAGTGGTAAACATGGAAATAAAAACTAAGTATTAGAGAGATTTGAATGAACATTAGGAATAGCATAATGATGCTAGCATAGTCGAATTCTTCTAGAAATACAATGGACAGCTTCAGTCTAATTTTGTTCATTTCAAGACATCCTCAGATCAATCCCTGTATGTTCAGTGTAGTCTTAAAGCACCTAATCTTAAAATGCTTGAAATCATAGAATTTTTAGGTAAGAGGAAAGTTCTTTTTCCTTTTAGAAAAAGAAAAAAAAATCTCATAATTTCAAGTTTTCCCAGGTTTACTATTAATTCTACGATACTATGTGCATGCTGAGTATGAATGTAGAGGGATTAGAACCCTGAGTTGCTACTAGTTACCATGTTGTACCTTGCCTGGCACATATAACACACTCTCAATAAATGCTTCTTATTATTAAGTCATACTATACCCAGTTCCAAAATCTGGAACAATGGGAAGACTTTTTAAAATATACATATATAATTCTTAACATATATAACTAGATAATAAAGAATTCATTAAGAATGAATTTAATATGAGCCACATTATGGTTTTGTTAATTTTTATAATGGGCTATTTCTAGTATTGCACAATGCTTAGAAATCAAACTTTGATGTCAGACATAGCTAGATGTGAAATAGCCCTGACACTGGTTATTCACCATGAGTATGTTAAATAATTTCTTCAAACCTCAACATTTTATTTTTTATTTCTATTTCTATTTTCAATATGATATATCAGGATTTAAATTTTTAAATGTTAAATTAGATCATTTAATAAGGCTTTCAGTTAATTAAATATATAAGATATGGTAAGAGTCCAATAAATATTAGGTAATATTATTTTATTATTATTTCTTAGCTCCTTTTTCCTTTTATTTGTGCTTATAAAAACTTTTAAAAATTCTTAAGAAAGTTTGGAATAGATACTTTTGACATTCCTCATATTAATAAGCACTTGAGTTTATCAGGAAACATCTGACAGAGGCTTTCCATTCCTCCAAGGCATGCTGTTGGAACCACAGGAAACTGACATGAAATTTTAACAATATAAAAGATATAATCAAAACCAGAAACTCTTAACTTTTTAAGAGTATTTTAAAGTATTAACATCATCTTAGAGTTTGCATGTAAAAGACCACACAGTATAATAAAAAGAATGTAGCTTTATAGCCATATAGGTCAGGTTTTAAATCTCAATTTGAGCACTAAATATAAGGCCTTGGAAAATTAGGTAAAACTATTTCCTCACCAGTAAGATGTGGAAGGCAGTTATATCTCGTGGACTGATATCCAAATTACATTTGCTAATGGATGTAGTAAATGTAGGTTCGTAGTAAAATGTATGGCACTTGATGTATTTTCAGTGAAGGATAGGTATAATAGTGTAATACCCAAGAAAGAGAACGACAAGCATAGCCATAAATGTAACCTACATATAAAAAGCACATTTCAAGATACTTAGAGCTAAGGTATATATATGGCTCCATATTTATAAGAGAATAAATGTTAAAAGCATTAAAATAAATAAAACAATTCTTAAGTTTATTTAAAAAAGAACAATTGAAGAAAAATATGGTGAAATGAGAACATCTTGGTAGAATTTCACTTTTTTAGTGTGTCAGCAGTAAGTTTAGTATCATATAACTGGCTGTAAATTGGAGATTATGGTCATAGACATTAAAGTAGTGATGCTGCAGATATTAAAGTTAAAATGAACTTAGATTGGAAAAAAATTGCTAAGAATCCATAATGAGTTGTATGAGTGTGAGTCTGTGTGGATATGTAGGTTTATGTGCATATTTAAAACATAAAAATGAACAACTATCAGATAGCTCACTGTCTGGAAAAGTAGTGTACAACTTTGATAACAGGAAACTGACCTCTCCAATTGATTTGTATCTTCTCAGTAAAGGCATGTTACCTTTTAAATCAGGAAATTAGAACATCTACTATAAGAATTTTTAAAGTTTTCACAGAGTAGAAAAAGATGGAAGAGAGCCTCAGAGAAATGTTGGACATAATTAAGCTCACCAACATAAATGTAATGAGACTACCAGTTTGCTGATTCTTCTACTGCTGAGCTCTCTAGTAAAGTTTCAAACATTAGTTTTTAAAGACTTTTTTTTTGCCCCTTTATGTCTCTTCTCCTAGTACTCATATGTCGGTGCACTTAATAATGTCCCACAGGCTGGACATGGTGGCTCATGCCTGTAATCCCGGTGTTTAAGGAGGCAAAGTGGGAGGATTACTTGAGCCAAGGAGTTCAAGGCTGCAGCAAACTATGATCGCGCCACTGCACTCCAGCCTGGGCAACAGAGACAAGGGCACAGAGAGAAGGACAACCTTGTCTCTAAAAGAAAAAGCCCTACATTTCTGTGACGTTTTGCTCAGTTTTGTTGTTGCTGTTCCTTTTTTTTCTCTTCTTAAGACTGCAAAATTTCTATTAATCTATCACAAGTTTGCTTGTTTTTTCTTTTGTTGCCACACATCTATAATTGAGCTGCTCTAGTGATTTTTTCATTTTAGTTATTGTATTTTTCAATTCCAGAATTTCCATTTATTTTTACAATATCTTTATTGATATCTCTATTTGATGAGATATTGCCATAATACATTCCTTTAATTTTTAAATATGATTTCCTTTAACTCTTTGAACATTTTATAATGGCTGCTTTTTAAAAAAATATATAAAATAAATCTTGTTATTTTATTAATTTGCAAATAAAAACCATACATGTTTGTGGTATACAACAAAATGTTCTGATATATGTTTACATTGTGGAATGGCTAAATCAACCTAATGAATATATCCATTATCTTAGATATTTATCATTTTCTTTGTGGTGAGAACATTTAAAATCTACTCTCTTAGCAAATTTCAAGTACACAAAACATTGTTACTAATTATAGTGCAATACAGTGCAACTATATTGTGCAATATATCTCTTGAACTTATTCTTGAACTTTTCTAACTGAAATTTTGTATCGTTTGAGCAACATCTCCCTACTCTCCACACCACTTCCCCATAGCCATTGGTAGGTACTATTCTCTCTGCTTCTGTGAGTTTTATTTTTGTAGATTCCTCATATAAGTGAGATCATATGATGGTTGTAATTCTGTGTTTGGCTTATTTCACTTAGCCTACTGTCTACCAGTTTCCTCCGTGTTGTTGCAAATGACAAGATTTCCTTCTTTTTAAAGGATGAGTGGTATCCCATTGTGTATATGTAACACATATTCTTTATCCATTCATCCATGATGGACACAGGTTGATTCCATATCCTGGCTATTGTGAATAATGTTGCAGTAAGTATGGGATTGCAAGTATCTGTTTGACATAATGATTTCAGTTCCTTTGGATATATATTCAGCAGTGGGATTTCTGGAACATGGGGTAGTTCTACTTTTAATTTGTTGAGGAACTTCCATACTGTTTTTCATGACTGTACTAATTTACTTTCCCACTAAAAGTATACAAGTGTTCCCTTTTGTCCACATCCTCTCCAGCACTTATCTCATGTCCTTTTTATAATAGCCATGCTAACAGATGTGAGGTGATATCTTATTGTGATTTAATTTACATTTCCCTGATGATTAATGATGTTAAGCATTTTTATATACCTGGTGAGCATTTGTATGACTTCTTTTGAGAAATATCTTTTCAGGTCCTTTGCTCATTTTCAATTGGGCTATTTGTTTTTATTGTTTTTTTTTTTTTTTTTTTGCAAGTTGTTTGAGTTGCATATATATTTTGAATATTAACCCCTTATTGGATGTATAGTTTGAAAATATTTTTTCTCATTCTGTAGGCTGTCTCTTCACTCTGTTGATAGTCTCCTTTGTTATGCAGAACCTTTTTAGTTTGAGGCAATCTCATTTGTCTAATTTTGATTTTGTTTTCTGTTATTTGAAATCATATAAAAAAAAATCTTTGTTCAGACCAATATCATGGAACATTTCTCTCATGTTTTCTTCTAGTAGTTTTACAAGTTCAAGTGTTACATCTAAGTCCTTAACCCATTTTGAGTTGATTTTTGTATATGGATTGAGATACAGGTCTAATTTCATTATTTGGCAAATGGATATCTAGTTTTCTCTGCACCACTTATTATTCTTTCCCCCTTGTGAGTTCTTGGTAACCTTGCAGAAAATCAGCTGACCATAAATTTGTGGATTTATTTCTGGGTGTTCTATTATATTTCATTGGTCTCTGTGTCTGTTTTTGTGCCAATGTCATGCTGTTTTGATTAGCTTTGTAATAGTAATCAAATTAATAGATTTTACAGTCAGGTAGTGTGATGCCTCCAGGTTTGTTCTTTTTGCAAAAGATCATTTTGTCTATTTGGAGTCTTTTTTGGTTTCACACAAATTTTTTGATTGTTTTTCTATATCTGTGAAAAATGTCATTGAAATGTTGTTAAGGATTCATTGGATCTGTAGATCACTTTGGATTGTGTGAACATTTTAACAATATCAATTCTTCCTATCCATGAACAGAGATGATATCTTTCCATTTATTTGTGTCTCCTTCAATTTCTTTCATAAATGTTTTATAATTTTCAGTGTATACATATTCCATCTTGTTGAATTGTTTCTTTTATCATTATATAATCACTATCTTTGTCTTTTTAACCATTGTTAATTTAAAGACAATTTTATATCCTATAAGAATGACTATACCAGTTCACTTTTGGATTCTATTTGCATGGAATCTTTTTTCATTCCTTTACCTTGAATTTGTGTGAGTCCTTACTATTTAGTTGGGTTTCTTTGACATAGTACATATTCAGGTTATGATTTTTTTTCATCCGTTCCACCAGTCTATATCTTTTAAGTGGAACAGTGACTGTTCATGTTCAGTGTTAGTGCTGATGTGTGAAATTCTGTTCTGTTCATCATGTTGAATGATACCTTGTTTTTTATTTTCCCTCTTGTGTTATTGTTCTATAAGAGCAATGAGCTTTAACTTTGGGTTTTTTTACACTTGTGGGTATCTGTAGTGCTGTTCCATAGATACCACACTTTTGAGCATTTCCTGTAGGGCAGATCTAGTGATGAAAAATTCCCTTACTGATTGCTTGTCTGGAAAAGTCTTTATTTCTCCATAATTTATAGTACTTAGTTTTTCAGGATATGAAATTCTGGGCTGGCAGTTTTTCTGTTTAAGACTAAAAATTGGACCTTAATCCCTTTTGACTAATAAGATCTCTACTGAGAAGTTTACTGTTAGTCTGATGGGTTTTTCTTTATAGGTTTGGTGTTGTTGCTTTTGTCTTGCAGCTTGTAGAATTTTCTCTTTCATTTTGACTTTGGCCAAATTGAACTATGTCCTATATGCTGTGAATCTTCCCAGTGTTCAATGACCTACTTGTGCCTGGATATCTGAATCTCTGGTGATACAAGGGAAGTTTTTCTCAATAATTCCCTCAAATAGATTTTCCACAGTTTTTGCTTTTTCTTCTTCTCCCTCAGGAATATTTATAATTTTTATATTGGCTCATTTTAAGTAGTTTCATATTTCTCTGAGTGATTGTTCATTCTTCTTTATTCTTTTTTATGTATCTGTTTGTGACTGGGTTAGTTTGAAAGACATATCTTCAAGATTTGAAATTCATTCTTCTGTTTATTCTAGCCTGTTTCTAGTTGATAGGATGAATTTTTACTTTATCTTTGATATTCTTTAGTTTTACTGTAATGTGTTTAGTGTGGATTAGTCTGTATTTATCTTGGGTTATCATACAAAATTTTCTTAGTAATACATATCTTTAATTCATGAAAATTCTCAAAGTTTTGTTCTTCAAACAATACATATAAAAATATTCCTATTCCCCTTTTCTTAAACTCCTATTGGATATATGTTGGAGATCCTTAATCTATCCTTCATATTATATAATTTATCTTTTTTCCTCTTCATCACTCTGTGTTAAAATTGATGAAAATAGTCTTCAACTCTATTATTTAGAGTTTATGCTTTATATTGATTTTAAAATTTTTGAGTATTATGCTGTTTATTTCTAAGAGTTACAATGATTTTTCTTTTCTAATCTATTATTTCATTTCTTCCTGCTTTTATTTTAAAATGTCCTGTTTTTATGGGACATGATCAAACTACAAAGCTTCTGCACAGCCAAAGAAATAGTCATGAAAGTAAACAGACAGCCTACAGAACGGGAGAAAATTTTTGCATCCTATGCATCCGCTAAGGGACTGATAACTAGAATATACTTAGAACTCATGAAAATCAGCAAGAAAAAATCAAATAACCCCATTAAAAAGTGGGCAAAGGACTTGAACAGAAACTTTTCTAAAGAAGACAGAAGAATGGCCAACAAACATATGAAAAAATGCTCAACATATCTAATCATCAGGGAAATGCAAATCAAAACCACAATGAGATATCACTTAACCCCAGTGAGAATGGCCTTTATCAAAAAATCTCCAAACAATAAATGCTGGCGTGGTTGCGGAGAGAGAGGAACACTCCTACACTGCTGGTGGGACTGCAAACTAGTTCAACCTCTGTGGAAAGCAATATGGAGATACCTTAAAGCGATACAAGTGAATCTACCATTTGATCCAGCAATCCCATTGCTGGGCATCTACCCAAATGATCCAGTGACACTCTACAAAAAAGACACCTGCACTAGAATGTTTATAGCAGCACAATTCATAATTGCAAGGCTGTGGAAACAGCCCAAGTGCCCATCAATCCAAGAATGGATTAATAAAATGTGGTATATGTATACCATGGAGTACTATTCAGCTCTAAGAAACAATGGTGATATAGCACATCTTATATTTTCCTGGTTAGAGCTGGAACCCATACTACTAAGTGAAGTATCCCAAGAATGGAAAAACAAGCACCAGATATATTCTCCAGCAAACTGGTATTAACTGAGTAGCACCTAAGTGGACACATAGGTACTACAGTAATAGGGCATTGGGCAGGTGGGAGGGGGAGGGGGCGGGTATATACATACATAATGAGTGAGATGTTCACCATCTGGGGGATGGTCATGATGGAGACTCAGACTTTTGGGAGGAAGGGGGGGAAATGGGCATTTATTGAAACCTTAAAATCTGTACCCCCATAATATGCCAAAATTAAAAAAAAAAAGATAACTAGAAAAAAATGAAAATGTCCTGTTTTTGCTGAATATTGTTTTAGTATTTATCTTTTTTAGCCTTGTCTTAGTTCATTCAGGCTGCTATAACAGAATACCACATATTGGGTGGTTTGTAAACAACAGAAATTTATTCCTCACAATTTTGAAGCTTGAGAATCCAAAGGTCAAAATCCCAGAAGATTTGGTATCTGGTGAGGGCCCATTTCGTGTTTCATAATTGTCTATCTTTATCCTATATCTTCACATGATGGAAAGAGCAAAGGAACTCTCTGTGTCTCTTTTAAAGGGGCACTAATCCCATTCATGAGGGTTCCACCATTATGATCTAATACCTTCCCAATGTTCTACCTCCAAATACCATCACATTGAGGATTAGATTTCAATATTGGGACTTTGAGGATACACAAAAATTCAGTCTATTGCAAGCATCCTAAGAAAATAACTTTAAAACCTTCCTCAGATTTGCAGAAAGGTAATTTCATCAAAATTGAATTGATTTTCCATTTCTTTTCTGTTCTGATGTCCTTATTAAAATTACTTGTATTTGTAAATTCTACATATATTTTAGATTTTTGAGTTTCAGTTACTTTAAGAGGGATTTTTTGTAGTTCTTTCCATTTGTATATTTTGCTATAATCACAATCATGTTCAGTAGTAAATTATCCCAAATCTCAGTGGCTTAAAATAACAATTACTTATTATCTCTTAGAGATCCATAGCAGTGAGTGGTCTTAGATCTATGAAGTGTGTGACCAGACTTGGTTCTAAGCTTAAGTTTGGCTCCTTATCTACTTTACATTTTTTTTATCTTTCCTGGACCATCAAGTAAGGCTATACATGTTCTCATGGGAAAAACAAAAGCTCAAGAAGGACTGTCCAACCGAACAAGCACATTGCGTACTTCTGCTTGTATTGTATCTGTTAATATCCCATTGGCCTAAGAAAATCACAAATCCAAGCCTTACATATGATTGAGGAGAGATAAGGAAATATAATTTATTCATGATGGAAGAAAAAGAGGAAATATTATTAAAGAATAACTTTAATAATCTTAGCTGTCAGTTCATTTTGTTCTCATATTTGTTCCTCTATCCCTCTGGGTCTGTGCTTTTGTGATTGTCTGGTGGTGCATTGGACCCCCACTTCCTATTCAAGTTTTATAATGGTATTTGGGACTCCTGCTCCAGGTAATACTGCTAACGTCATTGGATCCAGTTAGTGAGCCATTGAATGACTTGAATCAGTTTCTCAACCTGAGGCTCTTTCTCTTTCTGCCTTCTTAAGCCCAAAGCTTCCTATAAAACCAGAACTCCAAGCTGTAATTCAACAAGTTGTCAGCCTCCTTTCATAAACAAGAGTGCATCTCAGGCTCCAGACTCCTACTTACTCTGGAACATTTTGTACCTACTAAACTTCCAGCTACAGCTACCTACATCTGTACTGAAGACCAGAGGACCCATGATTCACCCTAACTCACCACTTTATACATCTGTTTTATACTGAACTGTATACTACATTTTAAGGCAAGCTATGTCTTTGTGGTTATATGTTTAATACTTCATCTAGTATTACTGTGTGTCTAAAGAATAGGGCAGGGGAATTGTATTTAAGATGAACTATATTATCCTCATTGAACTCTCCAATTCTTTTTTTTTTTTAATAAGCTTACTTGATTTACTACTCATATGTCTCCCTAGAACATAAATACTCAGTCTGAAAAATATGCTCACTAAAGAGGGAAAAGCTGACAACAGAACCAAGTGTTAGGGCAAGAACAAATCTGAAAAGTTTGCATCTCCATACAATTTGTTTTTACCACCAATACAATGCCAATCCTCCTACTTGGCTTAATTTCTTATTCTCAGTTGAAAATATATTCTGGACTCTAAAGAAATATTTCTCAAAACATAATCTTTTATATTATTTAAAATTCTGTGGCTTACCTTTAATAATAATCATAAAAGCTAAAATAAGCATACTCTGAATTATACAAATACTCTATAATTAAACACTTTCATGTAATTTTAGTGCTAATGCTTCATGTTTGTGTACAGTTATACATATGTGCCAAAGGAAGTACAAATAGTTGAACTAAATTTCCAAAGCAATTTGGATAGAAAAAGCTGTAGAATAATTGCAGCATTACAGGCATATGGTTTTATCAACCTGCCAAAATCAAAAAAAGATCTGCATGTAGGAGAATTAATCCTCTTCTTGTAACTACCAACAATTCTTTAGCACTTAGAATAGAAGAACTACTCAGTGAATTACTTTTTCATTTCTGTTCCTGATACTAACAATAAATGAATGAGAAATTCATCTAATGTCATTTTCAATAACACCTAAAGATAACCATATCTTAAAACAAATAAGAATGCTTTACAATTTACATATCATTAAAATTACTATTCAAGAATCTTTCAAAGATGAATTTTGGGGTAAAAAGAGGTCTAATTATTCTAAATTAATTTAAAAAAACTTTGACATTATTGTCATTTAGTCAAATGTATTTATTCAAATAATAATTCCCTGAACTAGAATGATCATAGCTAAAGCTAAACAAATAAACAAACGAACAAACAAAAAATGTAGATTATGAGTTTTCAATCAGGATGCCAGATGTAAACAGCCACCTTTGGCTTACACGAAACACACAGATATCTATATAAAATATTTTTAAAAAATAAAAATTATAGCCTAGTTTGAAAGTAATAAATGGAAATCGTCAGTTGATAGAAGTGAAGAAAACCTATAGCCACAGTGGACATGGGTTTGATGCCCTAAAATGCACAAAGTAAGAGAGAGCGGGTAAATGCTCTAGCAGTTAACAGCTACTGTCTATGAATGGATAGGTTTCTATGCTATTAGTTTTGTGCATTTTGGGGAGCTGGAATTGGGCTTTCTGCGTTATTCTAGGAGGTAGAAAAATGCTATCATTGGTTGAAAAGTGACTAGAAAAATCTCCATATAAAAGACCAGAATCACAGCCTTAAGTAAAATACTTGTGCCAGGATATAGGGAGAAACAAAATCATCTATGAAATTCTGAAACTACATAGTTCAGGTTCTTATTTTTATCGCATATAGTAACAAACAGCATCAACCAACTGATACTTATAGAATATTCTGCCCAACAACAGAATAATATGTATTATTTTAAAGTGTACATGGAGTATGTTTCAAGATAGACATTATTCAAGGCCATAAAACAAATTTCAATATTAGAAGGGAATGTGAAACACTATGTCTACTTTCTGACCACAATGGATGAAATCAGAAAACAATAAGAGAAAGATATATGAAGAATTCTTAAATAGCTGGAAACTAAATAACTCAATTCTAAATAACATATAGGTACAAAAAGAAATAAAAGTGATAAATTAGAAAGTATTTTTGAACTGAACAAAAGTAAAAAGCCTATCAAAATTGTGGGATGCTGGTATAAATAGAACTGAGGAGAAAGAAGTTCTCAAAACCAATGACCTTATCTTCCACCTTAAAAAACTAGGCAGGGAAAAAGCAAATAAAATCCAAAGAAACAAAAGAAAGGAAATAACAAAGATCAGGGTAGAAATGAATGACAAAGAAAACAAGCAAGCAATACAGAACATTAATAATATAAAAAGGGGCCGGGCACTGTCTCACGCCTGTAATCCTAGCACTCTGGAAGACTGAGGTGGGAGGATTGCTTGAGGTCAGGAGTTCAAGACAAGCCTGAGCAAGAGTGAGATCCCATCTCTACTAAAAATGGAAATAAATTAGCTGGACAACTAAAAATTAGCCAGGCATGGTGGTGCATGCCTGTAGTCCCTGCTACTGGGGAGGCTGAGGCAGAAGGTTTGCTTGAGCCCAGGAGTTTGAGGTTGCTATGAGCTAGGCTGATGCCATGCACTCTAGCAGGGGCAACAGAGTGAGACTCTGTCTCAAAAAAAAAAAAAAATATGAAGGGGAGAGAATGTTTCCAAACTGATCCTATGAAGCCAGCATTACCTAAATATTAAAGTCACAAAATATTATAAGAAAAGAAAGCTATATATATCAATGTCCCTCTTGAACATAGGTGAAATATTCTTAAAAGAATTTTAACAAATCGAATCAACAAAATATGAGAAGATAATATATTATGAATGTATGTGTCTTCTATCACTGCATAACAGATTACTACAAACTTAATGGATTAAAACAACACAATTTTATTATTTCCCAGTTTCTGGCAATCAGGAGTTCAGACATGGTTAGCTGGGGGCTCTCCTCCAGGTCTCAGAAGGCAGAAATCAAGGTCTCATCCAGGGCTGCAATCTCACTGAGGCTCAGGGTCCTCTCCCAAACTCTCAAGGTCATTCATGTCATTAGTGAAATTTACTTCCTTGTCCTTTTAGGACTGGAGTCCTCCTTTCCTTGCTAGTTATTGGATGGAGTCACTCTATTAGAGGCTGCCCTCAGGTCCCTAGAAGCATGGTTTCCTTACAACATGGTGATTTATTCTTTCAAAGTCAATTGTAAAATCTGTCTCCAGTCTACTGCAATGAAGTCTTATGTAATCTGACATAATCTAGGGACTGACTTTTTCACACATTCACAGGTTCTACCAACACTCAAGGAGAGGTTGTACATACATTTTAGTGGGAATCTCAGGGAACCATCTTAGAATTCTGCCTATCACAATGAACAAGTAAGGTTTATCCCAGAATTTCAAGATTATTCTAACATTTGAAATTCAATCAATATTACTCACCACATAAATATACTTTAAAAATATGATCGTCTCAATAAGTATGGGAAAAATAACAAAATCCACTATCCATTATTGACTTTAGAAAACTCTTAGAAAATATGATATAGAGGAAACTTCAATATGACAAAAGCCATCAACAAAATAATCTATAGCTAACATCATTCTTAATGATGAAAAATTGAATGTTTTCCTCTAAGGGCAGGTTATAACAGGAGTATCTGTTTTTATACTCCTTTTAATATAATAATAGAAATTCCTGCTCCTGCAATAAGGCTTGAAAAATAATAAAAGTCATGTAGACTGGAGATAAAGAATTAAATCTGTTAGCAGATGAAATGATTATATAAAAATACCAAAGAATCTTAAAAAGAACCACTACAAGTAATAAGTTAATCCAGCATGGTTGTTGGATATATGATCAACAACAAAGGTCAATTACATTTCTATATATTAACAAGGAATACATTAAAATGAAAAAAAATATATATATAAATTGTATAGCAGCATCAAATATATAAAATATTTAGCAA